AGCCCTTGATCTTGGCTGTAAGGCAGATGTAGCTGTTGCATTGCCTAATGTGACCTCTTCTGGGAGGAAGAGGAGTCCCTGCCCTTCTGTGCAGAAAAACATTAAGCATATTGGTCTGGGTGCAAACATTTTTGTGAGAAAGCACAGATTATTTTCTATGTGAACCAACTGCATCCAAAGAGGGAGGAATGGGGAAATAGGAACAAGAAAGAATTTTTCTTGCCTGCATTTGCCCTGAGGGGATTTCTTTTTCTACCCTGGGTTGCCTTGGGGATAGTAGCTAGATGTTGGCTATGTCAGCCCAAGGTTTTCTGGCTGTCTGTTTCCTCTGAGCATGGAAGCCCATGCTCACAAAAACAGTTGTCTAGTGGAGTTATGTTTTAGTGGTGCTCTGTTATCCTGTGCTCCTGAGGGAGAGAAGTCATTGAAAAACCTGGGTCTCTCTAGCAGCAAGCTGACAGCTTTTGTAAACTAAGCAAGAAGTTTTTGAGGTTTTTCTGTGTATGCCTATTAAAGCCCTCAGGAGCAGCTAGGGACTGTAGCGACTGCAGATCACCATCACGTAGTGAAGGCATGGCCTGAAGAATTTCCCCAGGCAATCCTCTAGCCTCCTGTCCAGATGGAAGGTGACAGAGGAGCTGTTTTACAGGCTGCAGAAATCATAATGGCCTAGTGCTAGTCACACTAGAGATTTGCATTATCAGTGATGTTTTTGTAGGAGCCTTTATTGGCAAATATGGCAGTCTTAATTTTGGATGTGTATACAAGGCCAAATCCTGATCCTGGTGTTACCAGTGTAAGACTGGAATTTATTGTCATATTCATTTCAAAGAAAGCTGTAGGCTTAGTTTGGGAACAGAATTTGACCAAAGATCCTCTTCTAGGTGCAGGGAGAAAATGTACCCTTTGCAGTGGAAGGGTATGAGAAGGAAAACCTTGTACCTTACCACAGTCCCCACTGTATGGTGCAGAGTGCTACAGGTCTGTACTTGTCCTCTCTCTGCTTATGTTTGCACTTGTGAGAGACAGTCTGTCTCCATGAGTCACAACATCTCACAACATGCACAGATCTGCTTCTTCTGTCTAGGTAGGTATCTGTGCTGACAGTGAGTGAGTGTGCCTACATGTGTGGATCATGACAGCCCATCAGCACACACTGAATCCACCCCTCGAGCATAAAAGCTTATGCCCCTTATGCCTCAGAGTATGTTGGGGGAGAAAGACTGAAACTGAGCCTCCTGTGTGTGCATGTGTCAGAATCCTATATATATCTATGTGCATAAACACACACACATATATGTATGTATTTTTGTGTTTCCATGTTATCTCAGCATGTGTTTTCTGTGACTCTGTGCCAGTAAGCACAAAAGCAGTTTTGAAGATTAATGCAATTTAATTTTAGCTATAAGGAACATTGCAGTCCCAAGAGGTTTGCCATCAGTGTTGGAGGACATTAAATATTTGGGTTTTTTTTTTTAGTTGCAAGATAATAATGTTCTGGTGTAAATGTTTTATAATTATCTCATGAATTATTCAGTTAACTTGATGACCTGACATTTTATGGGATATGGTCTCTAGAGTGCAAGGAGGGAGGGAAAATTGAAAAATGAATAAATGTGAAGACAGGACCCAACTGCAACAATGAGAAAGCGCTGAGGCCTCTGATTCATTCTCTGTCTGCACTGAAGGGTGCTTTCATGCTTTTATGTATATTTTTGTGGTGATAAGCCACAGAATGTAAGTGGCTGAGGTTATTTTCTATATATATATAGAAGGAAAACTGGGAAAGGAATCAAATTCCCTTCGCTGTTTTTTTAATCTGAAAGTGGTGCTTGAATTATATCACCTATTGTTCTAGAGCTCAGAGGTTCTATTTATTGTTGCTACCATTTCCATCTGGTGAAGTGTGTTGTGGTTTAACCCCAGTTGACAACTAAGCCCCACACAGCAGCTTGCTCATTCTCCTGTAGTGGGATGGGGGAAAGAATTGGAAGGGTGAAAGTATGAAAACTGGTGGGTTGAGGTAAAGATAGTTTAATAGGTAAATCAAAAGGTGCATGTGCAAGCAAAACAAAGCAAAACAAGGACTTCATTCACCACTTCTCATTGCAACCATCTTCAAGAAAGTAGGGATCCATCATGCATAATGGTTACTTGAGAAGACAAATATCATCACTGACAGCCCCCCCTTCCTTCTTCTCCAGCTTTATGCTGAGCACATCATATAATATGGAATATACCTTGGGTCAGTTGGGGTCAGCTGTCCTGGCTGTGTCCCCTCCCAGTTCACTGGTGCAATGAGGAGCAGAAAAGGCCTTGACTCTGTGTAAGCACTGCTCAGCAGTAATGAAAGCATCTCTGCATTGTTGACACTGGTTTTGGTACAATCCGGAATATCTCCATGCTAGTTACTGTGAAGAAAATTAACTCTATCCCAGCCAAAACCATGACAAGCATTAGTGAAAACCAGTGTGGATTTTTCTTTACACATCTTTTTTCTCTCATTTCATTCCTCTTCATCTTCTCTTTTCTTTCATTCTTATTCTTATTGCACTTCTTGATTAATTTTTCTTCTTTTTTTCAGTCCTTCCTTTTCTGTTCCTCTCTCTGTTCCTCTGGGCTTGTATTTTTCTCCCCATTTCTTTCTGATTCTTTCACTGCTTCCCATCTTCTAATGTCTTCTTCTGTCTAGGACTCCCTCTTTGTTTTCTGTATTGCTAACAGGATCTTAATGATATCTGCTGAGGTTTGTGAGTCTTAACCCAATTCAGCTGAAGAAAGAATCAAATGTGAAGATTTCCTGTAATTTAAGAAAACATGGTGTCATCTTCTGGAAGGAGAGTGTTAAAACTCACACCTGGACATCCAGTCAGAATGTCTATCAGGTCTTGATGACCAAAATGCTCTGGAAAGAAATGGAATAACTTCATTGCCATACCCTGGGCATAAAGTACCCAGCAAGGGACTGGAGGAGTCTTCCAGCTTGCCTGATACCCAGGAATGCAAATGGAAAAGAGAACATGGCAAACAGCACTTAATCCCAATATGAGCAAAGGCTGCCGTGTACCCAGAGAAACAACTGACAGCTAAAACTGGACTTAGAGCTCTGGAGAGCTGTACAGAGCAGTCTCCTCTATAAAGATAAAAGGTTAGTGTAGACTCCAAGGTCTTTGTACGGGCAGTGGGAAGTGAACAGTATAATGTTTGGGATCACCTGAGCTAGCTGGCATCCAGCTGCTTAGTTGTATTGAAGTTCGTTGCACTGGGGTTCTCATCAATCAGGAATGCATGCACTTGTTCAAAGAAACTCGGGGGGTCTGCAGAGTCTGATGGATATGCTCATAAATTTCAAAGTGGCAGTTTGGAAGGCGATTTGGAGGGTAGCTGGCAAGGCATGAGCCATGGCAGAAAAATTGAATCCACAGGCGGAACTTTTTAGAGAACGAATTTGAGAATGGAAGAATTATTCCACTAACCTGCTTCATTCATTTATTTAAATTTATGCTATAAAATGAGCAGCAGAGGAAAGCCAAAACTTGCACTGATGATTTTCCTTCTTTTTTTCCTCTGCTGCCTTTTATTTATTAAACTGCTCTGGATGCACCTTTCAAAGGCCTTTTTTTGGCTCACTGTTTATTATGTCTTCATCAGCCTTGAAATGGGAGCTGCAGGCAGCTTGAAAAATGGATCGAAAAGCGGCTTCTGCCGGGTTCAAACTAACAACCCCCCTTCAACATCCATAAGTCCTTTTGGTTTAGCATTTCTAAAACAAGCACTATTTCCCTCAGCAGTATTCCTCAGTGTTTCAGCAAAGGTATGTCTTCATCCAGCTATGCCCAGAGCAGAAGTTCATCACTGGGTCATGAGCAGGACTCAGCCTGCAGCACTGGAAGGCAAGGGCAGCTGCGGTATGATAAAGGGAGAGACAGACAGTCCTGGGTAGGAAGGCTGAGCAAATCTTGACTCTGAAATGTGCTGGGCAGATCAATGAAGTAAATGAGCCAAGACATATGAAGTTGGGTCCTGCTCACAGACACCAGCAGCTGTCCTGCTTCCTCATAGCTATTTTTTACCTGGATAGTTTCTAAATTCTCCCTTTCCTTCCAATCCTGTGTTAAATATGGGCAGCTAAATATATCCCTGGTTCAAACCTTTTGTCTTCAACACACTTACTAAGCTCCACAGTTGGTCCAGCCTGGCAGCAAACCAGGGCTTTAGCTACTGTGATTTATTGATGGAGGTAAATGGTTCAGTCCCATCTGTGAAGGTACAAAATATTAATAAGAAAATAAATACCCCATAAGAAAGTGGTAATGGACGATCAGCTGCAAAGCTCCCAGGCAGCCAGGTGAAGACATGTCACATTTCCCGCTGTAGTAAATAGCACAGATATTGCAGCAAGGAGGGGAGGGTTGGGGTGTGTGTGTAATAATAAAAGCCACTCTAAAACAAACAAGAAATGAAAACATATGATGTGTAAGAGGAAGGACATAAGTTCTAGTTGTGGATCCTGAGGACAAAATGAGAGAGTCTTGTGCTCCTTTCCTCATTAACCTTGTTTCACCTCTACATGCAAAACTGATTGATATGCAAAACAAAAGGTGTGAATCTCCCTTTCTCCTAAGCTCCTTGGTATGTAATTTGCCACTATGGATCATACTGAGAACAGTGCATCCTACTCTCCTAGCACAGTTTCCAATATGCAGTGAGATGGCAGCACCCAAGGGCTGCTGCAAGGATGCCTGACGGGCTATGCCAAAGACAACAGTTGCTTCTGCTCTTACCCATTGCCTGCCTGGTTTCTGATTGTGTCATTGGTGGGCTGCCAAGGTCCTCAGCTGGTTAGATTCCATCACCCAAGGAATGATTCCAGTGCCACAGACGTGCTGTGGGTTTGTTTCTAAACCGTGAAGAGCCAATATTACTGAGTTATTGCAGTGTCCCTACCCTGTCTCTTTTATTTCATCTGCTCCAGTCCCTCTTAAGAACTGATTTCAGAAACAGCTTTTCTCTTCCTTGAACCAGGAGGCGAGTATGAATAGAGAAGGACAGAGAGATGGAGGCTGCTTTTCTCTTGCTGGAAAGATGTGGAGTGCATAAGGCCATGCATACAGGAATACAAATGGGAATAAGAGGTACGAGATCAGAAGGTACCTTGACGCTTGTGATTCTCTGGTTGTTTAGAATGCATAATTTCAGTTTGTTTAACACCAAAGGATAACTGATCATTCACAGGAAAGAAGCCAGAGTGGGGATCAATATTCCTATTGCTGTGCAAGAAAAATAACAGAAAAGGAATGTCTCTTTAACTGCTACAGCCAAGCAGAGGAAATACACGCTTAAGGCTTCTTGTAGAAGGGGCAAACAGAGGGTTTCTTTAATACTGGGTGTTATTTCAGTCTTGAGCTTTGGTGAATGTGTATGGACCACAGACTGATGCATGGAATAACAACCTGAGGAGATCCCAGCTGAGCACTTCAATCTCTATTTTCCATGTCAGCCAGTACAGATGCATGATTCATGTATAGACATAAGAGTTACCAAGAGCTGACTTCACTTGGTAGAGCCAGAGCTGAGCTTGCACTGACACCTGTGGGATCCTGTAGTAGAAGCATACAATTGTTGGTTGGGTTTTTTCTCTTGGAGGGGGGACAAAATCTGGTTTACCAAAACGTTTAGCTGAAGGGTTTTGTTTCTCATCAAATCCTTCTTGAGCCCTTCTTGGAGGGTGTCACAGAAGGGGTAAGAGGAAGTTATACTTTAAATAGGTTTCCTTGTAGAAAGTCTTAATTATAGGCACTGGCAAGGAATATGGATCTGAATTAGGTATATCTGGACTTGTGTTGGTGGTGCTTCAATATCCTGATCTCCACAGGGTGCTATCTGTATATAATTATGATGCCACTCCCCTCTGAAACAAAACCAAAAGACTGATAATTGCCCAGAAATAAGAGTATTTGTTAGGTCACCTTGGACGAGCAGGCCAAGCCTGACTCACCAGGTATGTGGTGCCACTGCACACGTTGGTTTGGAGCTGAGGAGCATCCTGGTTTTCTGTGAGCTTGAACTGTGCTGATTGAACAGCACATGCATCTCTTGCTGAGCTTATCCAGCAGCAGACCATAGGATATTTTTAAGAAGGGAAAAAAGAAATGAAAACATGAAGAATCTATACATCATAAATCAACATCAAGGGAGCTGGAACATGTTCTTCCTTGGGGTATCTTGTGCACCACACATGCAGGCTTAGAGCCCAAGGCTGGTGGAAATCACAGGTTTTGCACTCCCCACGCAGGTTTTTGTGGCTCAAGACTGACCTCCAGTGGGCAATGGCTGGTGTTGTTGGCCTTTAAATCTAGGGAAGGTGTGTACAAATGCTTTTTAGAGGGCTTGTGTTCAGATTTCAGAGCAGATATTTGCTCCTTGCCTTCTTCAGGCCCTCCTAGCCTAAAACCAGACCTTAGGAACAGACTCCTGCAGAGCTGATAAATACAACGTGGTTTCATTTGAGATAGGTAATTCTGAAAATGTCTTCACAAAGCAGGGAGGAAATAGCCTACCTATGATGTCTCCCCCTACAGATCAGTGATGAGCGAGAAAGGGAAGACCCTGAAGATTCTGGGGCAGAGTGAATTACATTCTGAATGAGACTGTACCCATAAGAAAGTCTAAGGCAAGGACCTTCTGCAGTTCATGTGGTACTGTTTTGTTACAGGTGTGTAGTTTGTACCATTCCCACTAACTGCGTGGGTCAGCCACCAGGGACCCCAGAAGACTTGTCCTCTAGCTGCGCTGCTATCAGTTTCAAGTAAATTAACTCCAACTGTACATGCAAGTTAACCTGTGGTTCCACTTTCCAGGGCAGCAAACACCTAGGAAGAAGATCTGAATAAAGAGGAACCATCTGCATAAAGAATCACCCAGGCTTTCCTTCCTTTCCAGAAATCACAGATGTCTTTTTCTAGTGGTAGCAATGAAGCTCTTTGATTCGTATCATAACTAGCACAATATCCTTTTATATTGTTGGTGGATGTTTAGTTCAGCCTCCACTGTGTGTCATAGATGGCTTTGTAGTATTCCATAGGCCCTCAACACAGCTCTGTCGGTGGCTGACCTCTAACAATTCTTTCCTCATTGTGTGAATACAGATCTCTGCTCATTGTTCTCAGAGCATCATCCTGCTTCTACCAGTGAGGACTCACTGACACCATGCAAAACTTGATGGACTTAGGAAGAGGGCCTCGCTGGGTAACAGCTGCTTGACCTGCTGCAGGAGGAAGAAGATGTTCCCTCTGCCAGTGGAGAGCTTTTGTGAATGGTAAGCCACAGCAATGCAACCTTACCTACTGGAAGGTGAGAAACCCATCAACTGCTAGAGATAGCTCCTTCTCCCGATTTCCAAAGGAAATCTGTTATCGTAGGCTAAAGAGAGGATGAGGTATAAAGGGGTGCCATGGACCTAGTCCAGTTGTGTGGTTTTGATTCAGAGGGGATTTTTATCATCATCAGTCTATGAATTTTGAACAAGAGCTGCATTAACCAAGAGGGATCTTTGTCCTGCCAAATGTGTAAATAACAGGAGGTCATCCTGGACTGAGTACATTCAATGTTCAGATGCTGTATGACTCAGGTTTACCTTAGATTTGCACCCAGGGCAGATTCCAATAAGCATAGACTTTGAACCTAGGCACTTTCCACCTATCTGAACATGGCAAGAGGAGGTGGAAAGATTGCAGTGCCCTTGGCATCTGCATAAGGGAAGGATTCACCTGGCAATTTTTACAGATGTCTTTTTTAGAGCTCAGTGGTTGTGATGAACTTTAGCAGGCTGCAAAATGGATAGGTGAAATGGCTCACTTAAAAGCAGCTCAGCAAAGGCAGGAGCTATGAGCAACTGGGAGAGGCCTCTGGAAGGAGCAGAACAGACACAGCTGAGCTGCCTTTCCCAAAGCCTACTTAGCATAGGACAAGGTCCTTATTTACTATTGACTGGAGGATGTTTTAGAAGTGCCCCTTCTGGTTTAGAGAGATATGAAATGTGCCTATAATTAATTTGGAGTTGAACACGGGCAAAGATAATATGCTAGAAATAAAAAGAGTAAGAAAGGGGGGAAGGTACTGTGAAGAAACAGATCTATTGCACTAAATCCCCCCCTCACTTTGAAATAAAACCTTTTTAGGAGCTGGGTGGCTGAGTGATGGGGCAGACAGAGCACAGACATGGAAATGATTATTGTATCAAGAGCTCAAAATAACAAAGGAAGTAAGAGGAGGGGTATGACTTGCAGAACTGAGAAAGGAAAAAGGGAGGAGGAAAATAATTTCTTTTGCATGTGACAGCTATGGCCAGTATAGCTTAGTGTCAGAACAGCGGTTTGGGTTCAGCAGAGTGGTGTCCAGTGCCTGACCTGCCCCCTGGTTTGAGGGAACTCCTCCAATGCCCTGAGCCTCCACTGGGAAATGTTCTGAGACGTGAAAAAGGACTGGCTACGACCATGTCTTGCTTGTCAAAGATCAGCAAATTGCCCTTCTCGAAGCACAAGGCTTTTACCTTCTCCAGTACTTGAACACAGTGAGAGCTCCCACTGGAGTCAAGCATCAGGGTGAAAACTGAAGACTCTTTCTCCTTGGCTTTTAGAAATGGTACAAAACATAGAATGTTCAAGCCAAAAGGAGGATGGATAAGAGGTCTGCAGAAGGGACGAGAATACTTAACAGTTGGCAAAGCATAAGTAAATAGACAAGTTATGATCAATGAGTTTGTTTGAATTTGACAGAGCTTTCCTGCAAACATGGGGGAGGGAAACGGGGGGGTGAAACATTCCCCTCCAGTGTGAGCTGTAATAAAGGACCTGCTGTTTTCTGATTCTCACTCTCTGTGAAAATTGAAAAGGTTAGCCAGGTAATTGAAATCGGGACTGGAATACAAATATGGTGTGAAAATCCTACAGCTGGCAGATGAAGTTGCAGGGAAAAGACTCAATCCTCGGTGGAATTTCTTAGCAGCAAAAAGACAGGGTGGATGAGGGGGAGAGATGATTCTTCAATATACCTGTTCCTCATGAGAGGGGAGATAAGGGAAGAAATGAGTCCTAAAGCAATCCTATTGAGTTTAACAATCATGTGAGTGCTCCTTGCTGTTAATGCAAGAGACACTGTGAAGAAGTGGAACGTGATGAGGTTGAATCACATATGGCAGTCATTGCTGCCTTTTGGAGTAATGTAGTAAGTTTACTGGGAATTGCTAGGCTGCCATGTCAGACCCAGCTTAGGGCTATGTCTTGTTACAGGCAGAGAGGGCAAGCTCCATATGCTTTAGCCCCTCTTCTTGAAGCTGAGGTACATAAGCAAACTGAATGCAATTGGACCAATGTCAATTGCCTGTTCATCTTTGTTGTATGCAGGAGCACAAGCTGATTTGCATTGTTTTAACCTAAGAGCAGGGAGGGAGATGGTTAATGCAAAGCAGCTGAGGAATGGTTCCTTGTTACCCCACTGAGTGCTGTATGTGCCTCAGTCCCAGTGGAGGGTCCTGTTGTTGCTGCTATAGTGTAAATTTATATGTGTTGCTGGTCCTATGGTCTCTTTTTCTGCACCACCAGGTAACGAACTGGGAGGAAACAGTGGTGCAGGGCTTGGGGGAAGCTGATGTTTGTAGTATTAGCCCAGTTTGCTCACATTCAAAAAACCCTATGCAGGTAATATTTCCCTAGCACCATGCCAACTAACAGGAACTCCAGCCTGTACATGGTTAAATAAGCAAGAACTGTATCTCCAATTTCCTGCATTACTCTTTTATTTCATTACTCTTTTCCTCATGGAAACGCTGGGCAGTTCTGTTTCCCAAAACAGTGACTCTTATAGTTTTTTGCTGCAGCTAGTCAGTGCAGCCCAACCTACCTGCACTGCAGTCAACAGCAGCATGAAAAACTTCCCTTTGGAGCCTTTCCATCGAGTTTAGGCAGCGATTTAGCACACTGTGGCAGGGCTGATATCTTTCCTGCTCCCACAAGCTCCTGTAGAAGCTAGGGAAAGAAAACTGCGAATTTGAAACAAATGCCTTGAACCTTTCAAGTGGTAGAGCCTTGTTTGAATTTCTCTGCCTTGTGAGAGCATGGTTCAGGTGTTCCCGAGGTACCAGCCCCAGATCGGTGAATAAAATGATAGGTGAATCCCCGAGGATGCTGTTCTAGTGTTTTGCAGTGAGTTGGTTGTTAGCCATTTGTTTTGCTCATTTGGAGCATGATTTTCCTAGTGAGTCATTTCTAAGGGAGTCTGTTGGGCTCTAAAGAAACAAAACAAATTGAAAGGGACTGACAAATATATCTGCTCTGCAACAAAGAACATGCAGCATTTCAAGGTGACCTGTACCTGGCTGCCTAGCTTTGGTTTTCAACTGTAGAAGATATACATAAAAAATACCTGTAAAACACCTAGAGGCAGGTGACTGAAATAGGTCAGATAAATTGATTTTAGCACAGATTTTTTATTCCTTCTTTGACCATAAAAGGGATCCATATTTCCTCTGATGGAGGTCTTAATGTTGTAGACATCTGAGTCTATGGCTCTTTTGGAAAACCTACTTCTAGCCAAAAAAGCAAACAGAAGCTTGTTCCTCTGGGAAGGAACTGTGCTGCATTTCACATCATAGCATAAGCTGAGGATGCATGAATAGAAAGTTATTTGAGCTTTTGCAATAAAGACTTCAGTTTTTCTTTTGTGAATTAACTATCCTAGTGTGAAGCAAATTATTCCAACAGCTCCCATACTCCTAAAATTAATCCTCCTTTAAAAATTAAGTGGATTTAAGATAATTTGCCTTAAAAGCAACAGCTGCAACTTTTAGGTTTTCACAAAGTCTAGATAGCAACAGAAATTCTTCCACAGATGGAAGAATGGTGTCAAATGAACTTAGCTCTCTCCTCTGTGTCTGAGGTATAGCCAAAGCAGTGTATTTGACTAGGCAAAATTTTGAAATGGAAGAAACATGGAAGAGAACGAGCAATCCCTGATTCCCCAGGTGAGGATCTTACATTATCATAGAATCATAGAATAGTTAGGGTTGGAAAGGACCTTAAGATCATCAAGTTCCAACCTCCCTGCCATGGGCAGGGACACCTCACTCTAAACCATATTACCCAAGGCCTTGTCCAACCTGGCCTTGAACACTGCCAGGGATATGGAGCATTCACAGCCTCCCTGGGAAACCCATTCCAGTGCCTCACCACCCTCACAGGAAAGAATTTCCTCCTTATATCCAATCTAAACCTCCCCTGTTTAAGTTTTAACCCGTTACCCCTTATCCTGTCACTACAGTCCCTAATGAAGAGTCCATCCCCAGCATCCCTGTATGCCCCCTCCAGATACTGGAAGCTGCTCTGAGGTCTCCACGCATCCTTCTCTTCTCCGGGCTGAACAGCCCCAGCTTTCTCAGCCTGTCTTCATATGGGAGGTGCTGGTCCATGCTTATTTGACATATGGCAAATTCTTTTTTTCAAGTCAGTGAAACCAGTTCTGAATCATGCTCAAGGTGGTCCCTGTCTTTTGGTACCCGAGCCCTTATGGCTTGTGATCTACCCCAACAACCTCAAAAGTATTTATTTTCCCAGGCAGAGAAATCTACAAGGCCCAAATTGAGCAACTTGCTGCAGAGTTTGCTTTCAAAATCTTTTGTTCTTCAACTCGCTCTGAAGGACACTTGCCATCATTGGATCAGGTTGGACCAAATTCTAAACCCATCTTTTAATCCTTGCAAGAGTTCCTGGTTGTTTGAGTTCTTGTCTTTTCCAATTATTCCTTTTCAGTCTATTATAGAAAGAAAAAGTCATGCCTGTTATTCTGTTTCATTAGCATATTTTTCCTTACTATAATATGCATTTGATATGGAAATGCTACAGCTCAGCAATTTGCTACAGATCACTAGTTTGTGGAACAAGAAACCTCAGTGGAGACAATCCTAGCAAGAATCATAATGGACAGCGGAGAAAATGAGGCAAACAGTTGTAGAAAAAACAGAGATGGAGAAGAGATCTGGCTGTTACACAGGCTGGGAAGCATCAGTCTTTGTTCTGGGATCTTCTGTCTGACAGCCATGCAGCCCAGTTTTTAACCTCCTCCCCTGAAGAAGCAGTCATGTAGAGCACTTGGATGCAACAAACCCCACTGGGTTTAGTGCTGTATTTTTGTGCATATATACCAGCTAAATAATACAAAATGCAGAAATAATATACTTTTCTTT